AGAGTGGACAGCCTGGTCCTTGACGGCCGTAACAAGTATCTGTCGGTGTAAAAGGCTGTCTATAACAGTAGCCAAAATGAACCTTGACAAGCCAAGCAGGTTTTTTCTCTCCGTCAATGACAAACCATGATGAAATCGGAATTAATCATCAGAATTATTTAAGACTACCACTTTAAGAATCATTTTCTTTTCACATTTCACCATAGAAAACTGAAGATTTTGGGGGTTTCTAAAGTAGACTTGCATTAAATGGATGATCATCTCGTATAACTCTGTTAATTATTATTTTGGAATTACCGAAATGTCCAATGTGTGTTTTTTCTTGTATAACGTTAAGTGGTAATGAAGTTACGACAATATTAATAGCTAATACTGTTTCTTGCTAAATAGCGAAATTTAGCGTCGTACATACCGGGCCGAATTACCCATTAGGCAAAGAATGTTCCAGCACCTGGAGGGCTCACCATTACTTTTTTTGTTGCACCGCCAACATGGACAAATTTGAATACCTGGACTAATTACTTCGTAAGACGGCCCGATTTTGTTCGTGTAATTCCATTACTGTACATGTTTTCGTACCATTGTACCAATACTATATTAAAAGCTCCGGGTAGATGGGACTCGATAGCCTGGGAAGGCAGCCCATCTAGGGGAAGGAAAACCCTGATTTTAAACCTCCGCTGCCTTGCGGCCATACCCTTTTTTGGGAAAGGCTTCAGGAGTCAACCTCGAGGGAAAATCCGGAGTTGAAGCCCCTAAGGCAGTTCGTTGTTGACGTCGACCTCGTTCTGGCAGCTCCTGCGACGTTGCTGGAACCATGTGTATTGGCGTTTGCCTTTCTATTGGATAATTTCAGCAACGTGGAGAGGGGGGACCTGCTGCATGGGTAACAGCTTCTCCTCCATATCTACCTACCCAGGCTTTGCGCCCTGGAGAGGACACTCCAGCAACTCCATAGTATCCCGAGACTGAAGGATGCCTACTATATTAAAAGCTATCATAATTTTTAGCATTTGGTAAATTGTTAACTGTTATTTCCTGAAAAGAAAAATAGAAAATTTGTATGAGTATTGGAATATGACCTCAATGTATTCTCCTAAACTATAAGTAATTTAACTTTGGTAATCATCTTAGTGTCATTATGATATGAACTGTCTGTATGTACGTGTTTAAGCTTTAAATAGCCACACTGACCACATGATGGGCACCATTTAGCTGTCTTGGCATAGGAGCCAAAAAAAGTTCAATCCTCCCCTGATATAAGTACTTAAAACTTAAGCATTATTCTAAAATCAATCGATCTGTTGTATTAGTTAAACGTTTTAATGATTGAAAACTATTTATTTAAAATTTTAAATTTTGCCCAGAGGGTCGACTTTATTGGGCAGTGACACTGATCTTGTGAGTGGACATACCGCCATAGCAGCATGTACAACACTCCCCAAAAGGAAGAAAACCCGCTGGGTTGTTCATCCTGTCACTTGTATCCAGACACAGCTGGGACTTGCTGAACTGTTTCAAGTGAACAGCTCTTCAAACAAGAAGATTAACATCTGTCAACCCTTAAAAGCTTACGTTATCTTGCAGGTGCAAAATGGGGTAATCTTTTAAGAACAGTATCAACATTTGACAAATGGTTTCCTAACTCAAACAATGTGGGGTTTATTATTCTTCACATACTTCTAAGGTCTCTCAGGTGTTCACATTCACGTAGACAGTGGTCTAGGCGGTGTCCGTCACTCTCATCACAGATTCTGCAACTTCACTGATCAACAGTTGTTTCCATTCCGTATCTCCATGGATATTTGTATCCAAGACGGATTCTCGCTATTACTGATTCTCTCCCTCGTCCTCCTCCTCTTCGTCCATAATGATTGGGATTGCCAGCTGCAACCATGTTGTATCATCGTACAGATTCACTGGCTTGTGCTTCTATCCTCCTTTTCTCAGTTACCTTGTCACGGTGATGTTGCCTGACAATACCTCTAACTTGTAGTAGAATCTTGGGTATAAAGTATTCAATATGGTCTCCTTCAGCGCCTTCAGCAGCCAGCACATCTGCTCGTTCATTCCCACATATTCCAACATGGGAGGGGATCCACAAAAACTTGACGACTCTTCCCTGATTGGTTAGTACTCTCACAGCTCTCTTAATTTCAGCGACTATTGCAAGATTTTCTGCCCGATTTTTACTTAGACTTTGAAGTGCTGCTTTTGAATCGGTGCAAATCACTGCACCATTAGTGCAGTTCAAGAAACCTTAACGCCATAACAATGGCAGTTAGCTCTGCTTGCGTTGAAGAGGCATAGTTCTCAATACGCGCTTTTTCTTCATTTCTGCGTTAGAAAGTATTATCCTTAATTACAGTGTATGATGCACCAGCCCTGCCATTGACAGGATTAGATGACCCGTCAGTGTAGATTTGATCTAGTTCATCTCGGGCTTCTTTATAAATTTCCTCGAGATACTTGTGCCTCATTTCTTGTGGTATCATGTTGGATTTTTTCATTGTCATTTCATTGCTGATAATCTTGCATGAGTCATCCTCCCAGGGAGGTAACCTCTCTACAGGCAGGAGCTCACGGGCTTGCTCAAGCAGGTGAAGCTCTTCAAGGTAGCAGACTGATCTGTGATGCCATTTTTTGCTTCTCCTGTTTCCCCCTGAAAGTAGCACAGAACTCAGTTTTTTCTTAGCAATATCATTGTAATGGGGATCTCTGGCTATCCTAATAGCAAGCTTACCATTCAGCTCCTTAATTCTACTTTTAACACTGGGGAGCGACAACTCCTCTGGTAGATTAGACTTTTTGGCAGTTCTTGGAACTCTAAGAATGATTGTCATGGCTTCATTCTGAACGCTTTCGAGCCTTTTCATATCGCTTTGGGAGTAGGTGCATAAAACTGGTGCGGCATAGTCTATGACGGAGCGCACATTAATTTTATGTTTCATATTGACGAGTCGAAGATCTCAATTGAACATACAGCCCAGAAGCAGCTAGAGCTGCGTGTGTATAAACTCGCCTAGTTGTACCTCCTGGGGGTTAAGCTCTGGCTCTTTGGCTCCGCCTCACAACTGTAGTGCGTATATGTAAACTACACGGGGTTATCCGACAGTGCTTCTCTCCCCCATCTCCCCCCAGACACCAGTCCTGAATTTATCTCCCGTCACAAATACAAACACAAATTCTATAGCCATATATATGTGGTAAACAAGAGAGTATCCAGGACACGGTCCTTAACAATGCCACCACTACACTTGGCACAGTAGCGATACAGTGACACTTCCGCCACCCCGACACTATAAATGACACCTTATAATGACACCGTGACACTTCCCCCAAGACCGCCACAATACTGTGACACTTCCCAAAGACCGCCACTACCGCCGGTACTTCCCGGGATCAGTTATAACTTATACTTGATTTTACGTAGAAGAAAGTCTTCGTTTGAACCACTCTCGTATATGTGCCGTGCTGCTGAAACTCTCATTAACACAATTCTACAAATGGTAGATAAACAGACGATACCTAGAACTGCAATGTAGAAACTGCGCTGCGAGTCCAGGCTCACGGAAGAGGGACATAAATGATATATTTGCTATAAAAACATTTTCAGTTTTTATAAAAACATACATATGAAAAAGCATCTGTAGATTACATTGTTTGGAGGTTTGTATTAAGGGGACTCACTTAAAAATGTCTCAACAGGTCTATTGAGATTATTCAACAGGTCTATTGCGATTGTCAACAGGTCTATTGCGATTGTCAACAGGTCTATTGCGATTGTCAACAGGTCTATTACGATTGGTTCCCATGTTCATATGTTCTGAAATAAAATAAGGATTGAACAGGTGTAATGTGAATGAAGTATTTTTACATTAAACAACCTTGTGTTCGTATAACATAAACAGCAATATATATAATGGAAAAAAACGCTGTGCCATGAAAGCTATACAAGATTTCCAGGACATCAGCCCATTTCGATATCATATTTTCCAAAAGCCTTCCAAAGACTACCCTAGAGCTAATATTTCACCAACACTGAACGATCATCCTAAATCAAGCATTTTGAAGATCATTAACCATTTAGTGGGATCCCTGCGTTGTTTCAAGCGTGGGTTAGACATATGAATGAGTTTGGGTGAATACATTTACAGTAACTGACTTTCAATAGGTTAATAGACCTACGAACAATTTCTTTAATATGTAAATAACGTAAAACATTGTCAGTATTGAAAGACTGAAACACGCCCAACATGCAGACGAGGAGTCACAATAACGTGGCTGAAATATGTTGACCAAACCACACACTAGAAAGTGAAGAGACGAGGCCTTCGGTCCGTCCTGGATAATTTTCAAGTTGATTCCGTCACAATCGACTTGAGAATGGTCCTGGACAGACCGAAACGTCGTCGTCCCTTCACTTTCTAGTGTGTGGTCAGGTCAACACACCCAACATTCTCGAATACAGAATAGTAGTAGGCATCCATCAGTCTCAGGAGACTATGGAGTTGCGCTCTGGTGTCGGCCTGGTCTGGAGTGGCCTCACCAGGCCACTCCAGACCAGAATAGCATTCACATTAAACATCTAATTTAACTGTTTATATTGATCTATATGTAATTACGGGAGTAAATTCAAAACAAGCAATCAATGAAAAAGTATGGCTTTATTATCTAGAACAGAACATACAGAAAAGAATACAAACATGCAAAACCATACAAAAAACATTGAATAATTCACCAAAGCTTGGGATCCAAAATTTCAGAGTAATGTGTTTTAAAACACATTGAATTTTAATTATTCATAATTCCTAAACCTAATGTATATTTTTAAAATTAGTACTCAACATGACACATTATACTTAAAACTAAAACTTATTTAATTCTAATAATATTTTTTTTTTTTTTTTGCATATCTTTATGAAACAATATACTTAAAACAAAAAATAATTAATTCTAAGTCAACTCAATTTTTATCTTCTTGAAAGATCAGAATTAATTTACTGATTTTCGAAGTGATCTCTGTTGCGATGTCTGTTTAGTTCATCCCAGCTGGCGAAGGTCTGTAGGCAATCGTTGCAAGAATAGGGTTTCTCCCCAGTGTGGTGTCGCATGTGCCTCTTCAGATGAGACGATCCCCTAAATTCCTTATCACACACTCCACATTGATAGGGCTTCTCTCCTGTGTGAATCCTCATGTGATAAAACAGGTTGGAAGTCTGGGTGAACGAGGCACCACACGTGCTACAGGTGTAGGGTCTCTCACCGGTGTGAACTCTCTGGTGGCGCGTTAAGTCATAGCGCGTGCGGAAGCATCTCCCACACTCGCTGCATTTTAAGAGTTTCTCATTGTGGGTGGACGCGAGGTTCCTCTTAGCACAAGCACTAGTACAGTTCCTATTGCACTGTGGAAACTTTTGTTGTGGCGTGAGGTTAAGTCCGTTCTTGCTATGGATTGGTACGTCCATAAACACTTCCCGGGACCCAGCCTGATCACAGGCTGACGTTCCTGGCAGTGGATATTCCACTGCTAGCGGTTGTGATTCTTCACTGCTGCTACTGTGCCAAGCTTCCTCGACAGACGACTCATTAGCAGCGGCGGAAGATCTGGCGGAGTTGTAACCAGAACACTGAGGGGTGTTCTCTTCCTCCTCAAAGCCCCTGGCTCCGAGTTCTTCCCTCCATTGCACAGGTTGATGAACAGGTGCAAGTTCACGATGGCCTTCTTCATGATTTAAGTTCCTTAAACGTGTTTTCTTCTGGTCAGCAGCATCGATGTGAAGATAATTTGGTGACGAGTTCTCTTGTCTAGAAGGACTCCAGGACCGGATCGCTGTGTTCCAATGATCAAATGATGCACTTTGAGGTGGTTGGTCTGCATGGGTCAACATGCTTGCACTTGGGGTCTCGTTCTGGTCAGCATGGAGATAATGGGACACCTGAAGTACTTTACCATCATCGGGATCTCCCCATGGCCTGAACGCTCTATTCCATTGATCAGGCTGGTAAGACGTTGAGGCAAGATCAAGACGGGGGTTTTCTTCATGGTTCATGATGTTCGAACTTGCTGAATTTTTCTGGTCAGCCTCGAGAGGGAGGGATAACTGTGGAGACTCCTCCTCCTCGTCCTCGTGTACTCTCCATGGCCGGAATGCGCTGCTCAACTGATCGACCTGGCGAGAGGTTGAGGCTTGTTGCAGAGGAGGACCATCATCTTGACTGAAGATACTCGAACGTGTAGTCGTCGAGAGATGAGCATCGTGACGCGGGGAACACGGTGGCGTGGACACTGGTTGGTAATGAACATTCCATGGTCGAAACTCTTTGGCCCGTTGATCAAGCTCTCCAGGCGACGAGGCCGACGCAGGAGGAGGGTCCTCTGCTCCTTTCCACATGCTCACACGTCTTTTCTTGAAGGGCAGTTTCCAGTCATTGTGTGACTCCTGTGCTCGTCCAGACATTACTGTTGTTCTGGAGCCAATGAAGCTTGGGTCATTATATCCCCGGCACAGGCCTCTCCTCTCCTCTGACACCGTCGGTGTGGTGACAGCCGCCGAAAATTCCGACAAGGATGCTAGAAGTTTGAGCATCTCTAAATGTTTGTTAATTGGAAAAGATCTCGTCTCTGGTGTCAATGTTATTTAAGAACAAGATATTCAGATGATATATTGCAAGAGGAAACAGAAGTACAGATATGTTAAAGAAGTGGAGGACATTTTTTTGGTTTGTTTCTGTAAATGCAGAGGCGGTGATGCCAACGTGTCACGGCGGCATGATTCTGAAGGGGGGCGGCATGATTCTGAAGGGGGGCGGCATGATTCTGAAGGGGGGCGGCATGATTCTGAAGGGGGGCGGCATGATTCTGAAGGGGGGCGGCATGATTCTGAAGGGGGGCGGCATGATTCTGAAGGGCGGCGGCATGATTCTGAAGGGGGGCGGCATGATTCTGAAGGGGGGCGGCATGATTCTGAAGGGGGGCGGCATGATTCTGAAGGGGGGCGGCATGATTCTGAAGGGGGCGGCATGATTCTGAAGGGGGGCGGCATGATTCTGAAGGGGGTCGGCATGATTCTGAAAGGCGGTGGCATGATTCTGAAGGGGGGCGGCATGATTCTGAAGGGCGGCGGCATGATTCTGAAGGGCGGCGGCATGATTCTGAAGGGGGGCGGCATGATTCTGAAGGGGGGCGGCATGATTCTGAAGGGCGGCGGCATGATTCTGAAAGGCGGTGGCATGATTCTGAAGGGGGGCGCATGATTCTGAAGGGCGGCGGCATGATTCTGAAGGGGGGCGGCATGATTCTGAAGGGCGGCGGCATGACTCTGAAGGGCGGCGGCGTCCTGTCACTGAAAGCGGCGGCATCCTGTCATTGAAAGCGGCGGGTCCTGTCATTGAAAGCGGCGGCGTCCTGTCATTGAAAGTGGCGGCGGCCTGTCACTGAAAGCGGTGGGTCCTGTCACTGAAAGCGGCGGCGTCCTGCCACTGAAAGCGGCGGCATCCTGCTACTGAAAGCGGCGGCATCCTGTCACTGAAAGCGGCGGCGTCCTGTCACTGAAAGCGGCGGCGTCCTGTCACTGAAAGCGGCGGCGTCCTGTCACTGAAAGCGGCGGCGTCCTGTCACTGAAAGCGGCGGCGTCCTGCCACTGAAAGCGGCGGCGTCCTGTCACTGAAAGCGGCGGCGGCCTGTCACTGAAAGCGGCGGCGGCCTGTCACTGAAAGCGGCGGCGTCCTGCCACTGAAAGCGGCGGCGTCCTGCCACTGAAAGCGGCGGCGTCCTGCCACTGAAAGCGGCGGCGTCCTGCCACTGAAAGCGGCGGCGTCCTGCCACTGAAAGCGGCGGCGTCCAGTCACTGAAAGCGGCGGGACCTGTCACTGAAAGCGGCGGAACCTGTCACTGAAAGCGGCGGCGGCCTGTCACTGAAAGCGGCGGCGGCCTGTCACTGAAAGCGGCGGCGTCCTGTCACTGAAAGCGGCGGCATTCTGTCACTGAAAGCGGCGGCGGCCTGTCACTGAAAGCGGCGGCATCCTGTCACTGAAAGCGGCGGCGTCCTGTCACTGAAAGCGGAGGCGTCCTGTCACCGAAAGCGGCGGCGGCCTGTCACTGAAAGCGGCGGGTCCTGTCACTGAAAGCGGCGGCGGCCTGTCACTGAAAGCGGCGGCGTCCTGTCACTGAAAGCGGGGGCTGCCTGTCACTGAAAGCGGCGGCGTCCTGTCACTGAAAGCGGCGGCGTCCTGTCACTGAAAGCGGTGGCTGCCTGTCACTGAAAGCGGCGGCGTCCTGTCACTGAAAGCGGCGGCGTCCTGTCACTGAAAGCGGCGGCGTCCTGTCACTGAAAGCGGCGGCGGCCTGTCACTGAAAGCTGAGGCGTCCTGTCACTGAAAGCGGCGGCGGCCTGTCACCGAAAGCGGCGGCGGCCTGTCACCGAAAGCGGCGGCGGCCTGTCACCGAAAGCGGCGGCGGCCTGTCACCGAAAGCGGCGGCGGCCTGTCACCGAAAGCGGCGGCGGCCTGTCACCGAAAGCGGCGGCGGCCTGTCACCGAAAGCGGCGGCGGCCTGTCACCGAAAGCGGCGGCGGCCTGTCACCGAAAGCGTTGGCTGCCTGTCACTGAAAGCGGCGGCATCCTGTCACTGAAAGCGGTGGCTGCCTGTCACTGAAAGCGGCGGCGGCCTGTCACCGAAATTGGCGGCGGCCTGTCACCGAAAGCGGCGGCGGCCTGTCACTGAGAGCGGTGGCTGCCTGTCACCGAAAGCGGCGGCGGCCTGTCACCGAAAGCGGCGGCGGCCTGTCACCGAAAGCGGCGGCGGCCTGTCACTGAAAGCTGTGGCGACCTGTCACTGAAAGCGGCGGGTCCTGTCACTGAAAGCGGCGGCGGCCTGTCACCGAAAGCGGCGGCGGCCTGTCACTGAAAGCTGAGGCGTCCTGTCACTGAAAGCGGTGGCATCCTGTCACTGAAAGCGGCGGCATCCTGTCACCGAAAACGGCGGCGTTTTGACCCCAAAGGGCGGCGGCGTTTTGACCCCAAAGGGCGGCAACATGAATTTCGATTTTTTTGTGCACAGTATTCACCCAATTAAAGAATTGATCCAGTTCTTGTCTGCCTAACTACCGTGATACCAATGATATCGTCTATGTATCGTAGGAATATTAGCAAACTCTGCACTTGTTGTGTTCTGCCTGATTCAAAGACTGCACAAATATTTCAGCATTTGTCAAATTGCTCGATTGCTGTACCCATTGTTGTGCGTATTATTGTACTCGTTATTTGTCTATAAACTTTACTGTCTAAAGTTAACAAGGTGTCTCTCATTACGTGGAAGATAACTTCTTCTAACAGCTTCCTTGTTGGTGGCCTGAAGACTCCTGATTGTCTCAGGTCCTGTTTAATTATATTCTTGTTGGAGTTGACAAATTCTGCCACCCTTTCAGCCGCTTCTCTCTGTGGTATGCTCTATAGAGTGAGAATTTCTCACTAGATTACTCTAGTGAGACAGTGATATACCACAAGAGGCATTTAGAGGCATGCCTCTTGTGGATTTTTTAAGTGACTGGAATCTATTTATGAAGTTCATAGTGTCTTTCAGACGTTCAGATAGGAGTTTAGGAAGTTACGAGGGCTGAGCATATCTAATCTAGTGGCCTGGTTGGGGCCCTACGTCCATTTAGAACTGGTCAACCTTGCCAAGACCTCGTATCAACTATGTGTATTTTGGGGAAAGTTCTATTGTGCTGGGATTATAGTGATAAAAGCCGAGAGACTGTCTTTTGCTTTTACTTTAATCAGACCCCCACGGCCCCCAGACATATCATCTTTATTCCTGTATAGTTTGAGTATTAATTTTGTTTGGCTTCGTGTTTGAGCTTTTTCTAAGCACCACTTGCGGGTCTTGTACTTGTATACAAGTTGATTTGCCATCTATTTGTCAACAATTTCTTTCTATAATTATCTTTTCCATACCACTATTGTACATCCTTTGTTTGCTAACAATGTCGTCTCTGTTTTTCAAGGACCTTAAGGCCTGTAGTTCCTCTCTTGAAAGATTCAAACGGGTTTTGCTACACATTTTGGTTAAGAATGTATGTTTTATTGATTCCATCTGTTCACTCAAACTTAGCATCTTGAAGGGAGTAGTATATTGTTCCTCCCTTGGATGTGGGTATTTATAGGACAAAGAAAGCGTTCCCTGTGCCAGTGATTGGATTGGTCCAGGGACATATTTGTTTAGATTTATTATTGCTTTTCCCACACATAATGTTTGTTTTCTGAATCCATGATCACCGAGACTATTGCCGCCCTTCGTGTTGTTAGAGCAAGTGGACCTGTAACAAAAGAGAAGCCCTTACTGAGTACTGTTTTCTCTGTTCTTGTTGGTTTCTGTTTCTGTAACTACGTTAGTTTTTAGTTTGTTCTCCATCCCCTACCGTTGTGACAACCGTTCCATACTCCATTTTGTTGTCCTCTACCTGGGTATTCTCCTCTGCCTTGCTGCCTGTTGAGTTCCTTTGTTTTCTCCTTTTTCGTCTGTGTCTTCTAGATTCGAGCGTGCCCCTTGGTAACCACTGTCTCTCCACCAGTTCGGCTGTTTGTTGTAAACAAATTTCCCATACCTGTTGAGATTTGAGGAATTCCTGGACCCTCCCATGAGGTCTGGGAGGCGCTCTGCAGTCCGATCTACTACAGTTTCCATAGTACAGGCGTCCGTCCTGGTTGTTCTGTCTTGGAGGCGCTCTGCTGTAAGATCTACCATCGTTGCTGTTGTGAGCCAGTCCAACCTGGTCACTGTAGTAGGGTCGTTCACTGTTTTTGTTACCTTGTCTACCTGTTGTTGAAATTGTCTCTATAGGTGTTGTATGGCCCTCCCCCGTTGTTGTTGACATTCTGGTTTGAGGTACGCTGATCCTTCAACCTGTTGTGGGGCCGGGATCTGTTGGTCATCTGCCTAGGTGGTACTCCCTCCAGATCATAGGTTTGTTGTAGTACAGCCATTTCCTGCACTGTCTGGGGTGTTGGGCGGGCCTCGGGTTGTCTTGGCTCTTCCGAGATGTCATTTACGACCGACATCAGTAAATTTAATGTACCATAGCGCGGGGTTTTCTGGAAGGAGTAAGCTGAATTAGTCTCTCTCGATCTTATCTCTATCTGGCCGCTGTAGGCCTTGTGGAAATTCCTTATTTTATGATGTGGGTGTCTCCTATCCGCCTCCCATACTATCGCTCCTATCCTTTCTCATCAGTGCCTCTGTTAGATAATTGTGAGATTATAAGTTCAGGTTTTAAGACTTCTCTAAAAAGCGACAACGTGACGTCAAAAGGGCGGCTTCGTGACAACAAAATGGTGGCGGCATGACATGAAAAGAGCGGCGGCGTCATGCCACGGAAGGGCGGCGGCGTCCTGACATCAAAGGGCAGGCTCCGGCGGCCTGTCACCTCGGCAGCTGGATAAGCTGTCTCGCGGCTCAGGTTTCGTAGTAACGAATTAGATGTTTCTTATAATGTCAATAGTTTCTTACAATGTTCATCTCTTTGATTCACATTACAATGTGTTTAACTCGGTGGAGGCGCGATGAAATATTTCAATCATCTAATTATTCTTCAAGCAGTAGTTAGTCCCTTGTGCTTGTAGGCTTCGGCTATATTAATATATAAATAGTATATATATCTTCATTCCATTGGAGGCTTTTGATGTGACTTTGAATTGCTTGGTGCATCTGAATGCCATATTCAACACTTTTTCCTTAGTGTTAACTTAAGGTTACAAGCACTTGTACAGAGATATATATACACCAAGATGTGTATACTCATATTCCATACGTGTATATATACACCTGGAGTCCATAATAATAACTTTGTGAATATTAAAGTTCAATTATTCTTCGAGTATTCGATTTAATTGCATTAAAAGTGCAAACGAAGATCATAAGGCTCACCTTTAATAATTAAAGTCGTACAGGTGACATAAAAGGTGTATAGCATTCTACTCACAATGTCTGTCTGTTACCGGTACTACGTATATATGTAATATTTTCGATCATTTCCTCCGAAAAACTAAATAATGAAGACCACGACGACATACTATAATAATAATAATAATAATAATAATAATAATTTTATTTAGGCAAAGGTACATACATAAAGAGATTTTACAAAGTTTGTTGGCTTTATAGATAAGAGCTAGTACATACAATGCCTAAAGCCACTATTACGCAAAGCGTTTCGGGCAGATGTAAGTAAGTAAGATGTATTCACTGAGTAAGATGTATTTACTCTTACATACCGAGTAAGTTTTTCTCACTCTTATACCCATCTTACAGACCTAGCGTAATGTTTGACTTTCTCAGGTAGACTTTACCTGAGTTTACTTTT